ACCTAAGATTGAACACAATAATACTTAAAATGAAATAATAATCTTTATAGAAACTAATTGTTAGTGACTCTCCAACGTCTAGGCAGAGTACTAAGAATTATTTCTTTCAGAATGTTATTTTTAATTTATTTTATAATATCACAAAAAGATTTTTTTTAAGTATTATTCTTTTTTTTTACTATAAAATATTTTATCATCGAACAGTAAATTAAAGAGAGAATAATGCAATCAATTATCGATGATAACATGCTAACGTATGTATGCTAATGAATGTCATTTACAATGAAAAACAATTTAAGAGTTGGATTCTTAAGTATAATGAGACCACCCGACTTTCCAACATCAAAGCAGAGCTTAGGTGTGACTGTTTATATTTAAGATCCTAATTTTATTATTATACTTTTTATTCATTAATCTTATTATTAATGCGAATTAAGAAATTGTGTGAAAAGACTTAACGAAGTAAAATTTCCTAAATACCTCATCATCTAGACGGCATTCGGGAACAAATTGCTTCAAATAGAATTTAAATGTGTCCTTAAGATTTTGGAGTTTTATAAGGCTTGATAGATGGTTTTGAAGATTTAGTTTAAGGTTAGAGGTTTTAAGCTGAATTTTAGAATGGAAGATTTAGGGTTTTGATTTTAAGAGTTTGATGATTTTTTTGATTTTAAAATTTGAGTTGGGGTTTAATTTAAGGATTGAATTTTTAGGGATTTCGATTAAGAGTTTAAAATTTGAGATTTCGATTTGGGGGTTTTGGTTTTTAGGGGGTTTGAATTTAAGAGATTTTAGATTTTTAGGGGTTTCATTTTTTAAGAAAATATGAACATCTCTAAAAATTTCCAACATTTAGATGGATTTTCGAAGCAAGTTCGACTTTAATGATTTTTAAAAATTAATTAAAAAATTTCTTATTTTTCTTTTTATGAAAATTTATTAATAATAATTTCCCAACATCTAGGCGAAATTATTTCTTTAAGAAATTTTTTTTTTATTCCCTCCAACATCTAGGCAGGGAAAATAATAATTATTATTCTATTATTATTATTATTATTATCTTAAACATTTTTAATATATATTTTAATTATTATCTTACTTACTTTCATTTTATTATTATTAAAACAATTAAAAAAAAAACTTATCCTAACAAATTTAAAACTTATCACGCATAAATATATAAAAAAATACTTAAAATAACAAAAATAATATTATATAAAAAATTAGAAAATTTAAAAAAATGAAAAAAAAATTTTTACCTGAACCGGACCAGTCAACCATCCGATCAACGGAGGTTCGGTTGGACCAAAAAAGGTTCGGTTCAGCGATGGTTCAATTGAGCCGACTGAGCTGTGGTTCAAGCCGATCCTGGGGAGCGGTTCGATCCGGTCTGATCAAACCGATTCAGAGCCGCTGAGAAGTCGGGTTAGCGGGTCGGTTGGCATGGACCCCGGGTCGGGTCCGAGTCAACGCGCGGATCCTCTTTGGCCTAAACGACGTCGTTTTGGGCTTTTATTGAAACGACGTCGTTTTGGCTATTGACAGTTTATATAAAAGTTAAAAAATTTTTTCCTTCATTCTTTTCATTCTTAAAAAAAAAAGCTTCTTTTCTCTCATTTTTTTCTCTCTCCGGCCAAACGCAGTGGCCGACCGATCCTCCACCGCTGCTGTCGCCGTTCATCGATCACCGACCACCGTTGACGGTGGTCAAAAAATTCTCAGAAAATACCAAAATGTTTCCCTCGACCTACTGAGTTCAGATCTAAGGTCTTTTTCACCAAAAAGTGTCCCCACTTCCTTAGATCTACTAGTGAAGTTTCGGTCAGATCTTTTTTTTTTTGAAACTGACTTTGATTTTTCTTTGTGCAGGGGCTTTCGGCGCTGGGTTCCTCTCTGTGGGGAGGACTGTTTGATTTTTTTTGTGGTTTTTTTTTGTTTTTGATAGAATCTCCCCCTCCTTCTTCTCTATCTGTTTTAGCTTCGCTAGGAGCTCTATTTATAGAGCTCCAGCCATATGCGTTTGGAGGGAAGGGCATGGAGCTCGATCACGGGATGTAAACACGAGCCCCATGCCTTTTTTATTCATTTCTGTCTTATTTGACGTTTGTCAACGGAAGGAGTAATTAGAGGGGTGGAGGGTAGGGTCTGGTGGCAGTGGTGCCGGAGACGGCACCACTGCCATCCTTGATTTTTTTTATCTTCTATTCTTTTTTTTGTATTTTTTTATTTTGTATTTTTGTTTTGTATTTTGTATTATTTTTGGTATTTTTTTTGTATTTCGTATTTTGTAATATTATTGTTTTTATTTTATTTTATTTTGGGACAAAAATTGATGTCCACAGCTGTCCCTCTTTGCACATTACTGATAATCAGTAATAGAGCAAAGACAAAGATAACAATTTTGTCCAGAATCCAAATAGATTTTTTTTTTTAGGTTAGGTCAAGTGATAAAGAAAATGACATTGTGTGTTGACAAACAAAGAATCGATTAAGGCAACACTGAAAGTCGAATAATAAAGAAAGTGATCGGGACGACACTACGAGTCAAGGAATAACAAGATCAGGATTGAACTTGGATTGAATCACAAGTCAAAAATGAGGAGACTGGGATTAAACCACGAGTCAGAAGATAACAACAACAATCGAGATTAAACTACGATTTTAAATTAAAGAGATCGGGATTGAACCACGAATCGAAGAATAAGAAGATCGGGATTAAACCACGAATCAAATATTAACGATGACTGGGACTGAACCGTAAGTCGAGGGAATTAATGAAATGATCGAGATTAAACCACGAGCCAAAGATTAAAGATGACTGGGACTAAACCGTAAGTCAGGAAATTAATGAAATGATCGAGATTAAACCACGAGTCAAAGATTAAAGATGACTGGGATTGAACCGCAAGTCAGAGAATGAAATGACCAGGATTAAACCACGAGTCAAAGATTAAAGATGACTGGGATTAAACTGCAAGTCAGAGAATGAAATAATCGGGATTAAACCACGAGTCAAAGATTAAAGACGATTGGGAATGAACCACAAGTCAGAGAATTAATGAAATGATCGGGATTAAACCGCGAGTCAAAGATTAAAGATGACTGGGACTAAACCGCAAGTCAGGAAATTAATGAAATGATCGAGATTAAACCATGAGTCAAAGATTAAAGATGACTGGGATTGAACCGTAAGTCAGAGAAATAATGAAATGACTGAGATTAAACCACGAGTCAAAGATTAAAGATGACTGAGATTGAACTGCAAGTCAGAGAAATAATTAAATAACCCGGATTAAACCACGAGCCAAAAGATAAAGATGACTGGGACTGAATCGCAAGTCAGGAAATTAATGAAATGATCGGGATTAAACCATGAGCCAAAAGATAAAGATGACTGAAACTGAACCGTAAGTCAGGAAATTAATGAAATGATCGGGATTAAATCACGAGTCAAAGATTAAAGATGACTAGGATTGAACCGCAAGTCAGAGAATAAAATGACCGGGATTAAACCACGAGTCAAAGATTAAAGACAATTGGGAATGAACCACAAGTCAGAGAATTAATGAAATGACACAGATTAAATCGCGAGTCAAAGATTAAGGATGATTGAGACTGAATCGCAAGTCAGAGAAATAATGAAATGATCGAGATTAAATCGCGAGCCAAAGATTAAGATGACTGAGATTGAACCGCAAGTCGAAGAACTATATAAGACTGAGCTGTGAGTTAAGAAATAAGAGATTGGGTACTTCATAGACCAATAGTTTCAATTTTAAAAATTATGCTAACATACCATCTTCAAGGCCATCATTTTTGTTTCGAGAAAAAAAAATGTTGATTCTTCCTGATATCTCATAAAAAAACCTTCTATGCAACTTATCGAGAGGCATGTAATGCATGCAATGATTGTGATGAATGAAAAGACAAAGACGCCGTCAACGAATTATATCATGCATTTCATCCAAGTTAATTCAACTTTTGGTTCAATTCTTTCAAACTTTAAAAGTCGCTTTTAGTAATCTCGTCCTTTTGACTCTTTCAATTTTTGACCAGAAATCTCTGTCTCATGACGGACCCATCTGGCTTTTAGTCGCTCTAAAATCTCTTTCTTTTTTATCCCTTTTTTCCTCTTTATCCTTAGTAATCAATCGATTTCTTTTCATTCTTTCTGCCCCATGTTGCTATTTTTGTCATCCTCATATTGCATTCTCTTTTCGAGTGATACATTGGTCTATTATGAACTTTATTAATCAATATCTTAATTTTCAATGACAAATGCAATGATTTCAGGTTCAAAGTTGGGTGTGCAATATTATCAGTAATAAGATATTTCAGGTTTAGAAAGATAAGCTTTTCGAGACATAAAGAATAATTGATTCAAAAGTATTTCAAAAATCAAATATCAATTCTCTAAATAATGAACATTTGGACGACTTCGGCCTACTCAGACCAGGTCTTTTCCCAAAAATTCGATACATTTACGATCTTGTCACCTGTGATTTCATATTACCAATCTTTATCCCACATCTGTGACTAATGAGAACTACTTGCCCCCTAAAAGTCATATCTTTTAATTCTGGTGACAATTCGTTCATTTGGTGCCACTCATTTGTTCTTTAGAAAAAACTTTCTTCGAGTTCCACCTTCATTCAAGCCATCTTTATAGGTTTTTAGCTTAAATGACCCCCTTTTGACTCAAACCGTCCTTTTCGGGTTTTCAATCTGAATCACTTCTTTTCTTATTTTTTTTCATTTTTTCCATTTTTTTCATTTTTATTGTTTTTTTGTTGTTTTTTTATATATTTTTGCTTTTTTTTTAAGCAAAATATTTCTTGACAATGTCTGAATTTATAGGACTTGGCAATTCATCTCCGTCCATTTCTGTAAGGATCAGAGCCCTACCAAAAAAAGTTTTTTTTTACCACATATGGACCTTCCCAGTTGGGGGTCTATTTTCTTCTATTGTCATGTTGATATGGCAAAATCCTTTTCAAAACCAATTCGTCCTCATGAAAGCATCGGGATCGTATCCTTTTGTCATGTTCTCGCATGATTCTTTTTGATACATTTGTCCATAACTGAGTGCTGAGAGCCTTTTCTCTTCAATAAGATTCAGTTGCTCGAAATGATCTTGAACCCATTCTACCTCATCCAATTTTATCTCCATCAACACCCTCAGAGAAGGAATTTCCACTTCAATTGGCAGTACAGCTTCCATCCCATACACTAGTGAAAACGAGGTGGCCCCTGTGGAGGTTCGGATTGATGTTCTATAGGCAAGCAAAGCAAAAGGTAACTTTTCATGCCAATCCTTATATGTGTCAGTCATTTTCCCCAATATTCTCTTGATGTTCTTATTCGCAGCTTCCACTGCACCATTCATTTTTGGACGATATGGTGCTGAATGATGATGCTTGATCTTGAACTGTGCACATAATTCTTTCATCATTTTATTATTTAAATTGCTAGCATTATCTGAGATAATCCTTTCTGGGAGACCATACCGACATATTATCTCTCTTTTATAAATCTACACACCACTGATCGCATAATACAAGCATACGAAGCTACTTTCACTTATTTTGTAAAATAATCGATTACCACAAAGATAAATCGATGCCCATTTGAAGCTTTAGGGGTTATGGGTCCGATCACATCCATTCCCTACATGGAGAAAGGCCATAGTGGTGCCAAGACGTGCAGCGAGACTGGAGGAGAATGAATTTTATCTGCATAAATTTAGCATTTATGGCATTTTCTGGCATAACTGATGCAATCATTTTCCATTGTAAACCAGTAGTAACCAGCTCTCATGATCTGTTTAGCCATCATATGCCCATTAGCATGTGTTCCATAAATTCCTTCGTGTACTTCTTCAAGTATCATTCTCGCTTCCACAGCATCGACGCACCTTAGCAAAATCTGATCTCGACTTTTTTTATACAGAATTTCTCCGTCAAGCACAAAACCTATTGCTAATCTTTGAATGATCCTCTCATAATTTTTTAAAGCCTGTTCTGGATAGTTTTGACACTTGATATATTGCACAATGTCATAGTACCATGGTTGTCGATCTACCTCTTCTTCCACATTTGAACAGTGGGTTGGTGAAACTTTCACTTGTACTCTAATGGGCTGGATTCCCATACTATTATTTAACTTAAACATTGCTGCCAAAGTAGCCAAGGCATCAGTAATTTGGTTTTCTTCTCGAGGAACATGCTGAAATTGAATCTCTTTAAAATGTTTCCTCAAGCCAGCTATGTGCCTTTGGTATAACACTAGTTTCGAGTCTCTAGTCCTCCCATTCACGACCTTTTAGTTGATAAATTATCCAAGGCTGAATCCTCATATACTTCTAGTGTTTCAATTTCTTTTCAATGGCCATCTGTAACCCCATGACACATGCCCATATTCATCGACATTGTTTTGTGCCAATTAAAATCTAATATTCGGTACATGGGTAATAATTTTCTTCTGGGGATATTAGTACTGTTCTCAATGCCATGCCCCATTATATTGGATTGCTCCATCGAAAACATTTTCCATACTTCCTCTCTACAGGCTCTATATCTCATCCTGCAAGATTACCCATCAAATCTTCATCTGGAAACTCAAAACTTCATAGGTTCTAATCTTCTGAAGTTCAATCAGTAGAAAATCAGCAATTGCACTCCTTTTATAATTTTTTGTGTCACATACACAATATCATATTCTGAGAGCAGTGACCTACCATCTCCGTTAATCTAAAATATCTACTTATACTTAATCTACAATAAGATATTGTAAAATGGATTAAGACCTAAAAATTTATCTGAAAAAAGCTCGAACGCCCTAAATTCTAACCAAACTTGATTTAACACAAAAGTAAAAATGCTCAAATTAAGATCTTCACGTATCTAAAATTTTAATTTTCAATCTAAATAATTTGATCTTAAAGAATTTGAACTCTAAATTTGATTTGAAATTAAAAAATATACTAAAATAATTATATCTTACACAAAATTTAAAATAATTCAAATTAATTCAAATCAAAATCTTTAAATCTAATCAACCCAAACCGGAAATAATAGGATCCCCATATAAACCACATCTTCCGTTTGCCATCTCTAACTACAATAAAAGTTTACCCTAGCTACATATTTTCTATTATCCAATGTTAAAATCAAAGAGAAAAATAGTGACGGCTGCATGTCTTTTACAGCATGGACTTTTGGTTCTGGGTCTTCCCAAGGTGCGGTCCTGGTAGGCTCTTCGAATAATGGAAAGACCATGCGTGCCAAGTGTGAAACGGTTCATGGCCTGATTATAAAAACGTGGCTATCGGTGTGCTGCCACATTTTTGGCATTATCGTTGGGTAGAAATAAGTCGGTTTTCGAAGGAAAGGGATGGGATGGAGTGGAAGTATTCTTTCTAACAAAGCTGAGGCCACTGTTTTGGGTTAAAGCAAGTCAAGGATGCATGGCTATCAGTGAATATGAGTGGTGGTCAAATCCACAGATATAGGAACGATAATGAAAGAGATATTTGCTATTTTTGATATATTCGTTTTGAATTTATTTAATATTTATAATATTTAAATTTATTTAAATATTTATTTAAATTTAATATTATTATCTAACTTCAAATTTATTTAAATAAATATTATCCATTTAAATATTTGAATATATTCAAATATTTATTTATTTAAAATTTTTATTAAAATATAAAATAAATAAAATTTAAATTTAAATTTAAATTTACTCTTAATTAATAATAAAAAAATTTATTTTTTTAGATTCAAAATTTTATATATTTTATATATGTAACTAGATAATGAATCCAAATTCAGATATTTATTATTATTCAAACTTAAATAAATTCATATATTGAATATCTAAAAACTATTATCTAAATCCATTAATTATTAATTTTTAACTATCTAAATTTAACATAATCAAATCAAATAATAAAAAATATATATTTATTTATTATCTATCACCATCCCTACCCATAGACATTGGATAGGGGTTTTCTGAGTTTAATTCCAAGAGAGGGATCTAGTAGTGATCTTGTCCTAGGAGCAAGGTGCTTAAGTTTCGTGTTGAGGGGTCTGCACATGGGATGGGAAGCCAAGATCGGCGGGACCGCGGGTGTAGAGGGCTGCTCAAACTTAAAATCTTTACTCATATCTAACTCCACCATTACCACTTAGGTTACTCTATTAATTTCCTTAAGATGTAACTCCAATTTTATTATTCAACGTCATATCTTTCATTAAACATCTTAAGTTGGGATTAGGTCAATCAACAAAGAAGCAATGCCAGTTTTTGCTGCTTCCCCAAAATGCGTATACTCATCATCATCATCCTTATAAAGGAGATCAATTACTCGTGCAAGATTGAGAATGCAATTAAGGTCACTCATTGTATGCCTCTTGCTTTGACGCTCCAAACTGTTTTATGCAGCATTCAACTGCCATGGCAACATGCCTTTTCTTTTGCTCAAACTACATCAACAAGAAATTCCAAATAAACATTGCAACAAGGAAAGTTTTGGAGCTAATCTTGTATGAACAATATATTTTGCCACTACTTTTTTTATAAGACGATCAATCCTCCTTTCTCTAGGAATAATTCCTGACCCATATCCATTTGATACGTTAATTTAAAATTTTATTTTTGAAATACTTCTCACAATAATTAAATTCTGATTAACAAATTTGAACTAAGTAGCTAACATCATGTTGTAACCTACTGAACCAAATGGCCTCTAGAAATTAAGGGAAAAGAGGAAAAATATAACACAAAGGAAGAAGATTTTAACTTTATAAACCAGTAGCCAGGTAGTGCCACCTGATCAATACCACTATTTTAATATTCCAACCAAGTTTTTCAATTCATTTAGAGAGTATTTGGTATAAGGTGATTTATTTAAAAGTTATAGTGATTTACACTTGCATCAACTTATTTGGTAGCAATTGAAAAATTTTATATAATAGTAATTTTATCATTAGAGTGATCAGATTATTGCCTAATGAGTGATCTCATTCTCTACCTAAATGATGTGAAAGTTTTATCACTATGAGAAAGTAATTTTTAATATTATTTTTCTAACTAATTTATCCTCATGAAAAATATAATTAACATTACCCTAAAATGCTGGTCATTAAAAATTTTAAATATTGGTTTTTTAATCATCTATTCTAAAAGAGTTTTATGTTATAAATTTATATTGACTAAAAATAGATAATAGATTTATTTAATAATTTTTTAGAACTTATTTTTATCAAAATTGATTTATATTTTTTAGTTTTGTTTATAAAATAATGTTTAACTATTTTATAAACTATTGATTTACTAAATATTAAATATTTTTTAAAGGTTATTTTGGATGTTTTGTACTGTATGATTTATTTTTTTATATAATATCAAATACAGTGATTTGAAAATACTAATGATTTATAATATTATACCAAATATAATAATCTAAGATCATTAGTAGTTAAATTATCTAGGTGATATTATCACCATGATAATTACATTGCTGTGGTAATTTAAAAAAATGATACCAAACACTGCTTTAATTTTATCGTATCAAAACCAACTTCATTCACTCGTTCTTTACTTGCCTAAAAAGTTTCTATTAAGCCCTTAAATGAAGCTTGCATATCTAGAAACAAATAAAATTATTCAGTTGACAATTTTTTGAGCTTTAAACCCAGGGCCAATTTAAATATGAAATTTTAAGATTTCACCGTTTCCTCTTTAACACTAAATCAAAATCCCGATGGCTTAAATATCAAAAATTGAATGTCAATGCTTTTGTGAATACTAATTAATGGATTACTACGCATTTCCAAAACTAAAAACCAAACTACAAAGTTCACCTGATTATTGAAAAATGAACATACACAATTACTCATATAGGATATGAACATATATACATGGAAAATATTATCTTAATGAAGAATATCCAAAATCTTGGAAAATTTATTTTTCGATAGAGAGATTTCTTTAGCATGAGCATATATTATTGATAACTTGGTTTTATGCGTGACTGACGCAGTAGCTAGTTTGTGAAAGATCGACTAAATGCTCAAAAAGGAACAGGATCAATGAGCATAGAAGCTACAAAGTCTTTAAGCATCACTCCAGCATGAACATAACCATCTTCGGTCTTGTATATAACATCCATTGCACGAGCAAGATTGAGAATCCGAGTCAGGAGTGACATGGGGACAATGGTTGGATAGAGACATTCTTCGTTTATATCTTTCCATGCATCAGTAATTTGTTGGCGAAATTCCTTGACAGCTTCTTGTTCAGTAGCACCATGCTGTTTCATGTAACATTCAATTGCTGAAGCTACATGTCCTCTCTTTTGCTCAAACTGCTTCAGCCAAATCATCAAAATCAATGGCTAATATAAGTATAGACCACCCCGGAATTTTGGTTTTTAAGGCAATTGATCATTCAAGAAATTGAAAATAGTGAAGTTTGTACCTTGTGGGACACAATGTCATCCATGAGTCTGTTGACAATGGAAGCGCCAGTAGCTATCTTGGGTTCACTAAACAACCATGCGAAAGCTTCTTCAGTTGCAACATCTCCCATTCCAACAAAAGATGTGGTTGCAAGCATTGAATAGCCACAGGTGACTAATGCTACTGGCATGTACTCCTCCATTGTCGGTACATGGTGGTTATGGAACCATTCAGCTTCAACACAGTATGCTCTAACTTGATTTTTCATCTGAGCAACCAAAAACAAAATAATCAGTTGAATCAAGAGGAATAGTTATTATGTGCAGTGAAATCTAAATTCAGCTAATTAGCTTACAGCTTCTTTTGCATAATCAAGGCGGTATAATTTTCCTTGTTCTGTCATTTTCTCTTCAATTTCTTTGTAAACATCTAGCAATGCCTGATAACAAATTTGCATGTACTCCGGAAGGTGATCTTTTTCAGATATATCCCACCTAAAAAATTTGTTGATCAAAACTTTAATTTAATTCATCTTATGGAAAAGAAACAATTACTATGAACTTTGAAGGATAGACTTGAGTGAGGAATTGCAAAAAAAAAAAAAAAAAAGGAAATCAGACCTCTCAACTGCTTTAGTAAAGAGAACAAGTTCTTCAAGAGTGCCATACACATCATAGATGTCATCAATAACTGAAGTCAAGGCAATCACTTTGGTTAATATCCTTCTAGCCAACCGATATTCGGGCTCAAAGTACACTCCCAATATCCAAAAGTAGCACTCTATCACTCGATCTCTGATAAAAGGTAGTTTCCTCAAGAAATCCAAGTCTTTCCACCACCTGAATACCATAATTGAAGTGCATCACTTATATAAACGAAATCTAATATGGAGGAAAATCCCAATTGATAGCTGGGGCAAACTATAATCCTCAGCTGTCATATATATATCTATAGCTAGCAATTGCGAGGCATCAAGTAAGGGGGACTTGAAAGCTTACTTTGCGATTTCACTAAGTTCTTTCTGGTGCATCATCTGCAGCATATTGAAATCTAACTTTGCAAAGGTTAATACAGCTTCATTATGAGAAGGGTCTTCTTGATAGATAGGCATGTACTGCCTGGCCTCAAGCCTTGGCAAACCTTTGTGGATAGGTTGCTTTAAAGCATGACTTATTTGTGCTGCAAGAGAAGAGTTCAAGCAGCTGGTAGCCATGGTCTCAAGGTGAGTAGTAGTGAAAGCAAGAGCTTCATCCAGGATGTCTTCCCCATGCACCCTTAGATGTGTGGCCTCATACAAGCCTAACATTCCTTGAACATCATTGATAAGGGATTCCTTCAACTTTCCTTCACTGTCTTTGAATTTGTTAAAGGCTTCTGCTTTCACCATACATAAACATCAGATGGTTTTAGTCCGTAATGTTAAATAAACTAAAAATCTCTAATCACATGAAAATTGAATGAATCAAGCCATTTTTTGTATAAAGTTTTCCAAACTCTTGTCTGTTTTTATCCCCACACAAAGTTGAAAATAAGCCTAAATTAAATTGGTTCACAAATATCGTCAAGTTCTGTCCATAAATATAGAAAAGCAGGTACTAAGATCAGTTTAATACCACATGACATTTTATAGCCATTTTGTCGAAGCAGGCGAAATTTGAGAGAAATGGTATAAAGGTTCCCATCATTGGCCCCAATATCACAACCATTGTAGACCAACTGCAGGACTTGTTCAATCTCTTTTTCAAAATGATAAGAAACTCCTAGGCGTTGGATTGCATCAATCAACTTAAGCTTTTCCGAAGGTTTATCAACCTCAGCCATTAGCATCTTCTGTAATTCATTTTTCAGCTTCTGATGCTCTTCCTCCCTATCATAATCTTCCTCCTAGATAAGAAAATAATCAAATTAATACCCCCCCCAAGAAACACGTTGGAACTTATGAAGTACTTTTTTGAAATGTACGTAGACCTTTCAATTCAAAATACAATACAATAACATGAAAAAAAAAAGATACAGAGGTGACAGTTTAAAATTTTGAAAAAAATAATATATAATTTAACAAAAACAAAAAAAATATATTTTGTATTTTTCATATCAATACGAATTTTGACATAATTTTTATCTAAAACATAAATATACAAATTATCGGTGTTTTGCATGTACTAATATATGAATTATCAAAGTCTATTTATATGTAATTAAGCAGAATCCAAATGTTAAACTAATTATTACAATTACCTTATTAATGTTTGAGGCATATGAGAGAAAATGGTCACCCCAGATGCTGGGATGATAACCTGCCGACCGACGATTGATTTCAGGCAGTTCAGCATTTTGGATTGGAGCAGAAAGAGTTGATGCTGAAACTTCATCAATAGACATTTTTGGAAACTGTTTTAAAGGATACCGAAATAAAATTTTGAGTACAACAGGTATGAAGGTGCTGGTTTACTGCACTTTGGTGCTTCAAGAGGATTTCTTGCATTGGTATTTATAGAGAGCTAAGGTGGCATGGGAAGCCGAATATTACGAAAATTCATGTATTAAATTTTAGTATTTTTGAATAAAATAAATAATATTATTTATAAACAAAATCTCTTATAAAAATGGTTTTGAAGGCAATATATGGCTGAGGTTTGTGCTTTTTTTTTTTTTTTTTGAGTTCAATCATTAACATTAATTCTTATTGCGTGGCTTAGTACATTAATTTGATTTTTATCTGGTTTTGGAAAAGGCTACGAGTGGTGAAGAGCATCCCAAGTATTTTAGTGTTGACACATATTCAATTATTAAAACTCTGATAATGTTGATGTTCAATTTAAATATTCATATTCTTTATTTGTTTATTTATTTCTCTTTATTTTTTATTATAAAGTACTTTTAGCGCATTAATTTACATTGGAAAGAAATTTGTGTTTTTCTAAAAGATTTATTAATGAGAATTTAGTTTTTCTAAAACAAATTAATTTAATTACTGTTTTGATTACATTATTTCACGTTTAGACATTTTTAGTATTTTTTTTAAATTATCAAACAGTCAAAAAAAAAAAAAAAAACCAAACTTGTTGCTTGTGTTGGGCTATCAATTGAAGCTTAGTTTCAATAACTTTTTTTTTTATGCTTTTGATTAAGGGTTCATTTATTAGGATAATAAAATTAATTTCGATAATATTAAAAATAACAGTAAAAATACAATCAAATCATGAATTTTAGCATCCACACAAAACCACATATTCTTGGAATTTTTTTCAAAATAATTCTAATTAATAATTAAACTTTCAAATTTCAATCGTTAAACAATAGGATGTGATACTAATGTTTGTTGGTTTTAACGGTAAAGAGTTTAGTTTTTTTTTTAAATAAGGTTTTGATTTTAAATTTTGTAAAAAAAATAAAAACAAGCTTAAGAGAATTTGTCTCTTTATGAAATTAGATTTGATTCGATTTTAGATTAATCGAAACTTAAAATAATTGAAAGATCTTAAACTAAATATATATATATATATATATATATATATATATATATATAGGATGTGGAAATCATGCGGCCACAAAATGAATAAGAAAAGGAAAACTCTGGACTGCTAATAGTAACATTTGCAATCAAATTATCTAAGCTAGATTTTGAATTTTATAAGTAATTAAAATTTTCACATTTTCAATTAAATATAAATTTTAATTTTAATAAAATTTATTTTACATAAAACTTTTATTAAATTTTTTTATCACAATTATAATAATTTTTAATATTATTTTTAATCTCATCAAAATTAATTCTATCACCATACTTTTCACTAATATTTAAATATAATAATTACCCTTCCAAACATAAAGAAATGCACACAGAAATGTACATAACTCCAGTAAAACACATGCATCATCATAAAATTTTTTCATGAAAATTCTGGATGGATATAGACCTTCAATTATTGGACTGAGTATGAATTTTCTTCCTTGGGCATGATTTCATCCAATATTTTCTTCAAAAACATCCAGTGCCACATACAACGATTTAGGTTTTTTCTTTATCAGTCTTTTTAATGAAATGATGATATGTCAAAAGATTTTGGGAATCTTTTGTTTTTACAACTGACCTACAGGTACCTTTGGCATCTTAATGATATGTCACGAGCCTTTCTGGACGAATGCAGCACTAACAAAAGCAGATGTGATAAGTAGGATTGAAAAATAAGTAATCCAGATTTGAAATTATAGTGTTTAATTTGGTTTTGATTAATTTTTTATTTAATTTAAATATTAAATATATATTAAATTTAGATTAAATTTTTAATTGGAAAGTAAAATTAAAAATATATATTTTTATTAATTTTTATAAAATAAAATAATTATTTTATTTACATTTATTAAGATATATTAAAAATTATATTAAAATAATAAATAAAAAATTTAAATTTAAATTTTAAAAAATAATAAACCAAATTAAATCAAATTATTAAAATTCAATTTAAATTTTGAATTAAATTTTTAAAAATTTTAATTATATATTATTTAAAAAATTAAATTAAATTCGACTTATCGGTTACGAAACCTTATTAATTCATCTCTTTATTAATAAAAGAGCTGACCTCTTTCAAGAGAACCTTATAAAATGGACTTTAAAGAACAAAACGGATATGGACACTACTTTTTTGGGACTAATTAGTTTTTTATATTTAAATTATATTATTTGTATTAATTTTAATATTTAATAAATAAAAAAATTGCTATCAAATAATCAAATTTCACTTTCTTTAAACATTACTTTCCCTTTCTGAGAGAGTTAGTGGTAAATTTTTTATGCAATAATATTGGTGTATAGATTGACTGTTCGTGGTTCTTTTCTAAAAATATATGTCCTTTGTGAATCAGTATTTTGTTGTTAGCTGTTGAAGCAAGACTTATGCTCCTCCCCACTATTGGTCCCACTTAGGTAATAATTGCAACAAAGATTCCTTTGTCTTTTATTTTTTTTTAAGATACCCTTTATTAAATTCTATATTATGGTTACATTTAAATTAAATGATACTAAAATTAAGTAAGAAAGAGTAATTTTTTTTTTGAAAATTTAATTCATTTTAAAATTCTTTTATTTTACAACTTATCTAACTGAAAAAAATATTTTTAAACCTAAAACTTTTAAATATTAATTTTAAATAACATGTCAATCATACTAAAAACTAATCAATCGTTTTATTTAATTATTATGCTATCAATTAATAATTTACTTTTAAATTATCAATGATTTAATAGTAATTTATAAATGATTTACTACTAAATTAGTGATGATTTATTATTAAATTACTGATGATTTATTATAAATTATAATTAATTTATTATTAATTTATTATAAAGTTATTAATGATTACCTAATTTATTACTAAATTATCATTAATTTATAGTTAAATTATCAGTTATTTACAACTAAATTATTAGTGAGTTACTACTATATTTTTAGTTATTTACTACTACATTATTAATAATTTATTACTAAATTATAAATGATTTACTATTATATTATTATGTATTTACTATTATGTTATTATTGATTTATTACGTAAATTTTTAATTATTTCTACAAAATTATCAAAAATGTATTACTAAATTATCTATGATTTACTACCAATTATCACCTAATTATATTAAATTTTTTATGATTTATTATTAAGTTATCACTAATTAACTATTAAGTTATCGATTATTTACAATTAACTTATATTAATTTACTTTTAAGTTTCAATGATTAACTACTAAATTGTCATTTATTTATTATTAAGTTGTTTATAATTTATGACTAAGTTTATCAATTAATTGCTATTAAACTAAAATTAATTTACTATTAAGTTATCAATAACTTATTATTAAGTTATCATCGATTTATTACTATGTTATCAATAATTAACTATTAAATTATCACTTATTTTTTTATTAAACTGTCTTTGATTTACTGATATACTGTTATGCATTTACAACTATATAGGAAATGCGGAGTTTAAAAATTCAACAATATATGAGATCATTTTCTTTTTATATAATAACATTATTACTTCATTTAAATTTATATTTTTTTACTAATTTTTTTTAATAATTTAATGGTAAGTTTATGTTAGCTCCAAAGATGAAAGTTCTGACTTCATTTATGTTAGTAATCAAGGTTTATCCATAGTAACTTCAAGTACAAACAAATTATTAATGATAGATAATTAAATTATCATTGATTTACTATTATATTGTCAATAATTTATTATTAAGTTATCAATGATTTACTACTAAATTATATATGATTTACTACTAATTTATAAATGATTTAACATTAAAATGAGTTACTATTGAGTTATGGATGATTTTAGTTTAAATTGTTGATGACTTACTTTGAAGTTATTAATTATTTATTATAAATTTATAACTAATTTATTGGTTATTTATCAATGATTTACTACAAAGTTATCGATGATTAATTAATTTATTACTAAATTATCATCAATTTACAACTAAGTTATTAGTAATTTACTACTATATTATCAATAATTAAGTTATCAATAATTTACTACTAAATTATCAATAGTTTTCCTTTATATTATCATGTTTTTACTATTATGTTATCATTTATTCATTATTTAATTTTCAATTATTTACTATAAAACTATTAACAATTTACTACTAAATTAGCCATAATTCATTATCAAATTATTACTGATTTATATTAAATTATCCATAATTTATTATTAAGTTATTGCTGATTAACTATTAAATTATCGATGATTTACTACTAAATTATTTATGATTTACTCTTAACAATTAATTACTATTTAACTAAAATTGATTTATTATTAAATTATTATTGCTATTAAGTTATTAATAATTGATTACTAAGTTATCAATGATTAACTACTAAATTATAACTTATTTTTTAATTAAGATATCTTTGATTTATTACTTTATTGTTATGCATTTATAACCATATTATAATTGATTTACTATAAGTTATTATGTATTTATTATTATGTTATTATTGATTTGCTATTAAGTTATCAATTATTGACTACTAAGTTATCATTCATTTACTACTAAGTTATACTTAGTACTTTTTAAGTTTTTAATGATTAATTACTACATTATCAATTATCTATTATTATTTTATTATTGATTTGCATGTGTTCAGAAAAAAAACAACTACAATATATGTTAAATGATATAATTTGTAAGATAGAGAAAGTAAGAAAAAATTTAAGTGTAGAGGACTTGAAAAGCAATGAATAAATGCTATTAATTTGCTATTCATAGTTTAACACGTAAAAATGAGTTAAAATCATAGCTTTTCATACTAATGCAAGTATCAAAACTAAATTAAATAAATATATACTGTAGACACCCAATTAGGTCCGGGCCCAAATCAATTGGGCCTGACCCAAAATGGGTAAGGCCCATTTCAATCCTGTATATTTTTTTTTTCTTCTTTTGTATTTTATGTATTCTATTATTATTATTATTATTATTATTATGTATATCTTTATTTATTTATTTATTTTTATTCAGATTAGATTTATATGTATTTATTTATACAGTTATATATTATTATTATTATTTTTTTGTAATATATACTTGGGTTTATCTTATTTTATTATTATTATTATTATTATTATTATTTTTAATTATCTGTTCTGATTTTTCCTGATTATCAGATATTTTTTTTTTTTTGATTTTGGAGGGCTAAGATTGAAGCTGAAGAATCCTACCGGGAATGGGAATTTCAATCAAGAGAGTCCAATTGGATTCAAAAACTGAATTCCCCGTCCAAGGAGGAATTGGGATTGATCAGAAACTCCTGATCAATCCCTATATAAAGCACCTCCTGGAACAGTTCAAGAACACACAGAAAACAGTAAGCAAAGCTACTGATTTGAGAGAAAAGGAGGCGTATAGGAAGCTAGGAAAAGTTTAGGAGTGGTCTGGGAGTGAGAAAAAATTTCTAGAAATTTTTGGCGAAAAAATTTTCTGGAAATTTCTGGGAAATTTCCAGATTCCGGCAAAAATTCCGGCGAAGTTTGAATTTTCCGGCGATAGTTCCGGCCAAACTTGAAGTTTTCGGCAACAATCCCAGTTTCCGGCGAAGAATCCCAGAAACCGGCGATCTTTCGGCAACTTCCGGCGAACTTCCGGCGAAATTTTCCAGATTCCGGCGAGAATTTCCAGAATCCGGCGAAATCCCACCGGTGTTCTTCAGTCTTTAGAGAGAAGGCAGAGGAAAGAAGGAAGAAGAGAGAGAGAGAGGAGGGGCGGTCTGCCGAAAAACAGAGGGTAGTGCCTTTTATAACCCTCCCAAAACGAGTGTCGTTTTGGCTTAAGTTAATCAGAGGATCCGCGCGTTTTGCCGAAAACCCGACCCGACCCGGGCGTCGACCCGCTTTCTGACCCGCGCGTGCAGCCCTCCGAGCCGAGCCGAGCCGAGCCAAGCCACCAAGCCGCTTCCCCGAGCCGTTTTCTCTTCCTTGAGCCGAGCCGCGATCCGAGCTGCTCCAGGGTTTTTTTTTTTTTTTTTTTCTTTGAATTTTTTTCTTTGTTTATTTGTTTATTTATTTTTTTTATTTATTAGATTAGGTTTATGTAATATTCTTTTTATTTATTTTCTTTAAATAAAAATAAAATTTTCAAAAAAAAATATTTTTAGGGAAAAGTTGAAAGTATCAATTTTCCTTAGAAATAAATTTCCAAAAAAATATTTTTGGGGAAAAGTTGAAAGTATCAATTTTCTTGAAAATTAAAATTTTCAAAAAAAATATTTTTAGGGGAAAGTTGAGAGTATCAATTTTCCTTAAAATAAATTCCAAAAAAATATTTTTGGGGAAAAGTTGAAAGTATCAATTTTCCTTAAAAACAAAATTTCAAAAAAAAATATTTTTAGGGAAAAGTTGAAAGTATCAATTTTCCTTGAAAATCAAAATTTCCAAAAAATATTTTTGGGGAAAAGTCGAAAGTATCAATTTTCCTTAAAAATAAATTTCAAAAAAGGGTTTTTGAGGAAAAGTTGAAAGTATCAATTTTCCTTGAAATCCAAATTTCCAAAAAATATTTTTAGGGAAAAGTTGAAAGTATCAATTTTCCTTGGAAATAAATTTTCAAAAAAAATATTTTTGGGGAAAAGTTGAAAGTATCAATTTCCTTAGAAATAAATTTTCAAAAAAAAAAAAATAAATTTTTGAGGAAAAGTTGAAAGTATCAATTTTCCTCGAAATTAAAATTTCAAGAAAATATTTTTGGGGAAAGTTGAAAGTATCAATTTTCCCTTAACAAAAAAAAATCCTTCCTTTCTAATCTAAATTTTGAATTTTGTTTTTTTTCTTTAAATAATCCGACGACGGAGCCTCTGTAAGTGAAACAGTAGTTTTCTTGGCATACTCCTGAGGTGAGGGAATTTTCCTCAATTTTTCTGCTAAAAGTATTAGAGTCAATTGAGAATAATTTCCAATAACTAATTACTTGATAAAATTTTAAAGCTTTGGATAACACAAATTTAGCTGGTAACCATCTTTTGATGGGCGTTGTGAGGGTGCTATAACCTTCCTCACACGTAACCGAACTCCCGAACCCTGTTCTGGTTAGTAGACCTGAACCTATTCCTTTAGGGACCCTTAAGCTTAGGTGTTCCCTGAAAGGACAGATTCCTTAGGTGGCCAATCACACCTAGATAAAAAGATTGGTGCGACTCCCTTAAGTCAATGTCTAGCGATAGATCCCCGAATCTAGACGTTACGACAGCTTGGCGACTCCACTGGGGACTTTGAGAGTCAGGCTAGCAAATAATTTGGTGTTATCCAAAGCCTAATAAAATTGAACCATTTTTGTATATATGTGTTATTATTCATTCCTGTTTATTTACCTTGTTAATTATGTCGTTCATGGTGCATGTGCATAACATAGCTCTATACCGAGCTCCGTCCCTCTAGGAGGGAGTAAAGTAACCTATTGCTTTCGTGAGGTCTAATGCCTCCGCAGTGGCTAGCGAAATACTCCCCCTCAAATTTAACCTTTTCCGCTGTAGCCTGTA